GAAATCTTGACTCAAATGTAGGAAAGAATGTAAACGTGTAAATGTTAAATAACATGCGATGACTGGAAAGACGAAGATATGTTAATGTGAACTACGATGGAAAAGCATAAATAAAGAAGTTAAAAAAAAAAAAGAATTCCAAGAGAGAAATGGAACCTTCACGAGCTGAGGCAGTATGTCTTTGAATAATACTGTATATTCAGGACAAATAACAGCGGAAGGCCCTCAACCGCACCCCCCTGCTTGTGAAACTCACATGAAGCTGCCTTATACTGAATCAGACTACTGGTCCATTACAGTCAGTCTTGTCTACTCAGACTGGAAATGGCTCTCCGGGGTCTCAGGCTAAGGAGATTGGAGATGCCAGGGGTTGGACCTGGGACCGTCTGCATGCCAAGCCGAGGCTCTGCCACTGAGCCACAGCCCCCTCCAGAAGGATCTGTCTGTCTGGAAGAACAACGTAGGGCAGATGGTTCCTTGGTCTTTTTCAGTGGGCGATTCTCAATGGTTGATTCTCTGGGTTCATCTGAATGGGTTGGGGGACGAAGACGTGACCTGGCTCTCGAGGGATGCCTCGAGGCATGCATTTCTCACACAGGGTGCAATGCAGGAACGGAGATCCGGCACAAACTCCGGTTATCCGTGACTTACAAAGGCAGTCATGTATCTTAACTGGAGTTAGCTTTCCACCTCCCGTGCTGGGGCTCTTCATCAAGGCTTAATCCTGGCTTAGCATCCCAATTAGAGGAAGGGAAGTGACAACCAGTCTGGTGTAGTGGTTAGGAGTGCGGGCTCTGATCTGGGAGAACTGGGCTTGATTTCCCACTCCTCCACATGCAGCTGCTGGTGTGACCATGGGTCAGTCACAGTCCTCTCAGAGCTGTTTCTGTCAGAGCTCTCTCAACCCCGCCTACCTCACAGGGTGCCTGTTGTGGGGAGAGGAAGGAAAAGGAGATTGTAAGCCGCTCTGAGACTCGGAGAGAAGGGCGGGGTATAAATCCAATCTCTTCCTTTTTTCTCAGGTACTTCGAATTCTATGAAGGCCCCTTCGACTACAACTCTACAAAATGCCTGGGACTGAGGCAGAATATACTTGAAGTGAAGGTGCTCTCGATGTAAGTAGCACCTGGCCTCGTGGATTCTCTGGCCAGTCTTTACATGGCAGTGGGGTGGATCCTGCCCCTATCCTACCGCTTCCCTGGTGGTGGAAACTGCTTTCAAGTTACATCTGGCTCATGGGCAACCCCTGTAGGGCAGGATGTGTCAAACTGACAGGGCTCTTTTTGTAGAAAAAGCCCAACATGAACTCATTAGCATAATAGGCCACACCCAACAGTAGGAATCCATTAGCATACTGGGCCACACCCCTGACAGCACAGCTCATTAGCACATTAGGCCGCACCCCCAGGTTACCAGAAGTGTGGTCATCCAGCCACACCCACCTTTTGCTTCTTATTCTGTTTAGGGCTTTTTTGTAGCAGGAACCCCTTTGCATGTTAGGCCACACACCCCTAATGTAGCCAATCCTAATGAGTTTCTGCTGTTGGGTGTGGCCTATTATGCTAATGGAGTGCCTGAGGGGCTTGGCCAACTTGGGAGCCAGCCGGAACTCCGTTCCTGTGCGTTCCTGCCCAAAAATAGCCCTGGCTCAAACACATAGCCCGTAGGCCAGAACCGGCCACCCAGGACTCTTATCTGGCCTTCAAGCAACTGATTGCCTTTATTGCCAGATGACTGAGGTTGTGCATTATGTCCCTGTGTACTGTCTCAGTGCTAATGTGTAACGGACAGTGGAAGTGGGAGGACGGGCCTTACCTTTCCTGCCATCCGTCAAGTGCTTTTGAGAAAGTGGGTGTGGTTAGGTAGTCAAGAGAGCCAGTTCGGTGTAGTGCTTAGGAGTGCGGACTCTAATCTGGGAGAACCGGGTTTGATTCCCCACGCCTCCACTCGCAGCTGCTGGATGACCTTGGGCAAGCCGTAGTTCTGTCAGAGCTGTCCTTGAAAAAAGAGCAGTCTCTGTCAGAGCTCTGTCAGCCCCACCTCCCTCGCAGGGTGTCTGTTGTGGGGAGGGGAAGGGGAAGGAGTCTGTAAGCCGCCCTGAGACTCCTAGCGAAGGGCGGGGTATAAATCCCATCTCCTCTCCACTTCTTCTTCTTCTGATTGCCCTCGGAGACCTGCCAGATACTGCCAGATGAGTGTTTCTTAGCGAGCTCAGTAAGCATATTTGTCTACAGTCAGAGTGATGCACAACTTCAGCGGGACGAAGTCCCCGACGTAATGACACTACACGGAAGTGACGTCACCACAGGAACGTCACGCAGCGGCGCTCTGGTTTAAGGGCAAAACTCTATGGTTTTACCATAAAGTTTTGCCCTCGAACCAGAGTGTCACGCAGCAACGTCCCCAACGTGATGACGTCACTGCCATGTGCCGTCATCGCATCCCTGTTTGGGAGTAGGGCAGGCAGAAGATGAAAATTCGGGGGAACCTCCGCGTGGACCGGGGGGGTCTGGCAGTTCTGGGCCAGCACCCTGGGTCAGATTTTGAAGGGTGCCCGCTAGCTCAAAAAAGAATCCCTGCTTTGCATGAAGGAGGTTCCTGGTTCAGCACCTGGGGTCTTAGGGGCTGGGTAAGACTGTGAACGTCTGTGGACAGCCGCGCTAGGCGGGGCTGAGGCAGACGGGCCAGTTACATTCTATTGCACTCTGGTAGGATCAAGACGCATCACAGGTCCCATATACCCTGGGGATCCAGATGCGAATCCTGCTGTGTTTAAATCTAAGTGCCCCCCCCAACCTAGATTGACGTTACCGGCTCCTTTGGACTGGTGGCTGTCAGTGTATGGATCGGCACCCTCGTTGTGGGGTTCTCGGGCTGCTGAATCAGCACTTTCCCCATTCAGAATCGCCCCCTAATTTGCACACTTTCCCGCCTGGTTTGTTTCCCTAGCACCCTTTCTGGAATCCATTTCCCTCTGCGCTCCTGTTTTTCTTCCTTTGGGAGAGTTCCAGATTAACACGCTCCAGTGGTCTAAAGAACAAAATGACCTAATTCTTTAACGGGTGACTTCTGGGAAATCCTAAAACATGCCAGTTTTGACTATTAACTGCCCCTTCTCCAGCGAGGGACCAAAGAGCCTTATTGTAGACAAAACTGGATGTATGAAGGTGACCTGAGTGATTTTCTAACCTGGTGTGACCCAGAGAGAGACAGAGACAGAGAGAGACAGAGACAGAGAGATTATTTCTTGCTAATGCTCCCTCTAAGCTGTGGAGTCTTGTGAGCAAAACTTCTTCTTTGTGAGCTACTGGCATTAAGGTTGTGAGCAAGCAGTTTAGGTACTGCATAAATTAGTTTGCTGTGGAGCCATTCTTCCTGAGCTAAGACAAAAATGTGTGAGCTGGAGGCTAAAAAACTGTGAGTCAGCTCACACTAACTCAGCTTAGAGGGAACACGGGTCCCATCCCATCACCCCTTCCAGCTACAGTTGAAACACGCATCTGATGAATTGGGGCTCTCGTGCACAAAAAGCTCACTCTAGAATACAGCCAGTGTGACGTAGTGGTTAGGACTTTGTGACTAATATCTGGGAGACCTGGGTTC